TTAGACCATTCGAAAGCAGTGTACAATCTATTGTCATAAATTTTCAACTCACCATTTGATGTTCCATTAGCACTATTGACTGCAAGAGAACCAGCAATATATTATCGTCTAAGTATGAGTGCCGGAGACATGACTGTTCTCAGTTTAACACAGTTCTCCCTAATTTTGCACTTTTTTGCCTACTTTTCTCGCCTATACCGATACATTTTAATCACGACAGTCGTTTCTGATACATTGCAAGCTTTTGTAAAGTTCTCTATAGTTAGCTATAGTTACTAAGTCGTTTTAGAGGTCAATTTACCTCGCCAGAGTGCTAGCTTCTTAGTCCAGCATACAGTCTGGGTGCTTAAACCATTAATTGCATGTATTAAATTACCAGTCAACCATAGAAATATGTATAGAAACTACAAGGAACGACATTAACTAACAGGCATCCTGAGAACGATCGATAATTGTAACTTTAGTAACGCAAAATAACGCCTTTGAAAACTTACCTTGGCAACCAGGCATTTGAATTGAACATCCCGCACCACAGATTTGGCCAGCACCAGGCTGCGGAGAAATGCATCCGGGATTTGCAGGTTGCGAGGATGAATTACTTGCGCAGGGGTTTGGACATATTGTATTTGAGCCATTGCTGGATCCATTTTTGCTGTCTAATATCGGTGGTGGTTTCACCAGTGGCTGATCATCCTCATCCAAGAAGCTGTGTCATGCATAAGATAACTAGTTTAATACTGAGAATGTGCCTCGAAACATTTGTAACAGAAGTACTCTAAAACGGCGGCAGCTCTGGTGACCTAATGGTACAGTTCATCGTGTTGGATACTCTATTCTCACAATGCATTCCACGAAAGAACAAGAAATCATGCTTTTAGCCACTTCATGTTACAGATGTCAGGATAAGGACAGGCGGCAGGGACCACTTTGGCTTCACCTTACAGTTAATTATATCACTGTAAGTGTAACAGGGAGCTTTAAGCTATCTCTTTTATTATTGCTAGGTAAATTACCTTAGTACATTTTTAAGAAATAGCTAACTTAGTTTTTATTTAGCCCAATTTACGCGCTGAATACTTCTCGCATAATATAACCATTATTTCGGTTAATTACAAGTGCAGCATTGTGTGTCTTTTGTCATCGTTTTTTGTCCTACCTATACACCTCGTTGCTCCAAGGCCCTCCCTCGCCATCGCCTAGAATGCAGAAAAAAAAAGAGAATTTCCAGTCACAAGTACGTAGAATATTTGGGGAAAAAAACCAATAAAATTTGTTTTGATTTGTTTCCTGCAGTTAGGAATCGATAATACTTATCAAAATCGTTCTAGTAGTTAAAACGATTTTTGATGGATTCTGGCCAGCGCGTGTGATTAAATGTTTGATTAATCATTTGCTGGGCAATCCAACGGGTCAGCGGCCGAGCGAGTTTGCCGCTTGTCCTATCAGGAGCGTTAACCCGGCAATATCAGTCGAGATTAGCTAACTCACTTGTTTTCTCGCTTGGCAGTGCATGCCTGAATGTTTTAGTTTCGACTGTGGATTAGTTTATTGAGTAAGTTTATCGCATTGAAGTCATTGTCCAGGTATCACGATCATCGTTCTGGGCTGACTCTGATGACATTTATTTAAATGAGCTCACTCACGGTAGTTTGAGTTATTTTTGTTGCATACAGAATTACCTGGATTGAAGGAAATGATTGAAGGAAACCTGAAAATAGTAGTTTATTGAGATAAAAACACCAAAGAGATAATATAAGCCATAAAGGAACAAGTATGGTTAAAGATGGAGAAGATTGACACGGATTACAAACAACGAACTTGAAAAATTTGAGCTAAACTTTTCGAGATGCGTAAACCGTGACTTAGCGCCTTTAAATACTGTCCCATGTTACTCGTACCGTGACGGTCATAGGATCACAAAGTTGTTACCTTGACATTCCGCGCTCGGCCCATGCTTCCGATAAGTGTTCTCGTCATTTTTTCCTCCAAAACACTGTCCACCGTTCTGCAGTGCAAACAACTTCAAGTCTTGTTCATCTGCTGCCTCGGCGCATTTCATCAGAGCGTTAATTCTTATCCTGTAGTCATGTTGTTTGAGATGGGAATGCCTGCCCTCCAGACTCTCCATAGCACGGTTTTTAGGAGAATCTGCCCAGCAACCGATGCTTTTAAAAACTGCGTCATAAAAAGGTAAATTGCAGGATTACAATACTCATCTAAACTGCAACAAATTTACAGGCGTTACAACTCATTTACAGGTATATCACTCAAACAGTGGAAAGTAACATTTCAAATTAAATGGACAAAAGTAAACGTTATACTATAATTAGTCAAAATGCTTACATCTTCCTTTGATCTCGAACTTTTCTGTTCTGTCTGGAGGAGTAGGTTTAGGTTTCGGCTTTTTGGCGTCATAGCTTGGTTTTAAGGCAGATCCCGGGACCATCAATGACGCTGCTGAATTGGCCATGGATCCAGCTTCATTTGATGTGACTTGGTATGGATATGACATCTGTTGATACTGATCACTAGTGTAAGGACTTGAGGAAGAGGAGGGTGAATAAGACAATTGCTGGGTTTGTATGTTTGAAGGGTATGATGAGGGGTATGGTGCCGACCCGGGGTAAGGAGCCGAGTAGTAAGATGGAGAGGCTGGGTACGAGGGCGGCGAGGAGTACGAAGAATACAAAGAAGACGGATAATCAGAGTACTGCGATAAGCCGTAAGACGGAGAAGGATAGGCCGAGGGGTAAAAAGACGGCGATGCTGGGGAAGGGGACGGAGCGTATGCTGGATACGGGTTCGTGTATGGATATGGAGAACGACGACCAGCCTGTGCTTTTCTAAGAGCTTTCATGCGACGGCTGGTCCACCAGGTCAAACCACCTGCAAATAAAAAAAAGATCATTGTACCTCATTTGGAGAAATAAAATACATGTACCTTTATATAATCAGACATTGTAAAGCACCTTTAAATATTAGGATACTGGTGCCACAAATTTTCCAAGTCCCTCTGAGTGACTGGCTGACTGACTCACTGACTGACTCTCTGACTCACTGTCTGTCTGTCTGTCTGTTTGTTTGACTGACTGACTGGCTGACTGACCTACTGACTGACTGTGCAACGTATGTAATAATTTGTTCGTTTTGTTTTGTTCAATTAAGACCAATTAACATGGTATCAAGACATTTTCTATCACTTACCCGATCTTTTGCCGCCGGTGGCAAGCTTTCTTATCAGTAAGTGTCGATGATTTTTCTTAGTCCTTCCAATGGCGCCAACAGCCATGACAACCAATACTAAACTCAACAGGAGCCATAACTTATCCCACCGCATCTCTATTTTACACAGCACCACGTACCTATTAAATAGAGATATGATTTTTGTCAGATTTGTTTTTGCTCGACTGGAGAAAGAAACATGACATAAATACGGCGTGTTTTTCTGCAACCACCTTCGCCCGTTTCAGAACACGGCTGTAAAACTGGACGCTACCCTGGTTATTAACCACGAACCACACGGGTACACCCGCTGGGTTTACTACGAAAACCAGTGAACCGTGGCGCAGCCATGGGCTCGAATTTGTGAATAGCGACCACTCCCACTTTGTTTTGCTGACCCGCCCACATTCCTTCGTAAACGAAGTGCAGCGATAATAATAATAATAATAATAATAATAATAATAATAATAATAATAATAATAACTTTATTTATATAGCGCCATTTCTACGTTCATAGTGCTTTACAACGAATAAAACTATACAGTCAGTAATAAAATCTATATCAAAAAGAAACAAGGTTTAAAAACTTAATACAGGTCGAAAATGTTAACAATGTCTACAAAAACAATGAGTAGCTCAGTCTCCACGAATAGTTTAAAAAGGTATGTTTTAGGGCCCCTTTTGAAGCTCTTGATAGAGTTCGACTTGCGCAAGGCAAGTCTTGGAACACATTCACTAAATGCTCTGTAACATAGGTGATACAAGATTCGAATCCAGACTAAAGAAAAGGGAAAGAAGTGTAGCGAATAAATGTTGTGGGCGGGTCAGCAAAAGAAAGTGGGAGTGGTCGCTGTACAAAATTCAGCCCATTCCACGGTTCGGTGATTTTCTCAGTAAGATGCCATTCACATAAGACTGCATCATTTCTCTCTCCTGTTGTTAGGACCCCCGGTGGTAACAGCAGGAGACAAAATGGAATTGAAACTCATGAGCCGTGGATATTGACGAATAAACAATTCAACCGATCGGAATGGGTTTATGAGAGAACACTGAAATACTTTCTAGTTGTAAACAAAGCGAGATCTAACTTTAAAATGCACAAATAACCAGTGCAACAAATAGCACTGAATACACCAGTCGACCCCATTGGGTGAAGATGTCCTGCAGTCGGTATGCGGTCCGGTGTGATCACCGCATCAAGGGGATAACAAAATTATGTCGACCCTTTCATCAAAATGACTACACCGAAAAAACAAAGCTATGATTTGAAATTATGATGAACCAAAATCTATCGCGCCAATTCTACGTAAAATGGAACGAATTGTAGATTGTCAAACTTGTCAATTTATCTTCGTAGCATTCTTCAAGCGAGGTGGTCTCTCCATTTAAGGGTACACTGTTATCCAACAAAAAATCAGCTTGTGTTATTCACGATGACATTACAGACTGGAACATTTATTTGATAACGTTGGGTAGCATAAACGGTCATACTAGAAAACACTATAACTTGCAAGTTAAATTTTCTTGAAATAATAACTGGAATGCATCTCTTTCAGACTACGGCAATAAAATGATCTTCACCGCTAGAGGAGTCTTAACTAACTTCATGCATCGAAAAGCTGCCATGCATAGGTAGAAGCTTAAGTGATAGGAACTGGAACGTTTAAACTTGGAAAAAGGTTTCACGTTACTTTGTGACAAAACAAAGTTGCCTTTTTTGCCTGTCAATACGGCTTTTTGGTCTCATGCATCAAACGGCCCCAGAGTGCTCTAGATTCTAAATAAGGCGTGCTTAATTGATCATTTGTCCGTGTAACCCTTCAAGTTGAAAGTCAATCAATGAGTAGACAGCGATAAGTACAATCTCGTGCTAAACTGACACTAGAACAGAATTAAACAACTTCAACTCTCTCTTCAACTTCAACTTCACTTCAACTTTCCCTTGACCTATAACCATAACTTGTTACCACCTGTACAAAGAACTTTGTGCCAAATTCAAGACCTTTTTTCTTCAGATGTGTATTGAATCCTTTAGTAAAGGAACTACCATTTCAAAGAAATATTAGCTATCCTAGATTTTTCTCTTCCTTACCTTGAATGCACGTTTTCAGTTTCTATTTCCTGACATGGGTAGCATGGGTGTAATGAGTGAATACCCCGACAACTGACGCCTCTATGATTAAAACACAAGCACTTCCTAACTTACTTCAATGACCTCATATATTCTACTGCCGTTAAATTATTACTGAAATAAATGATTGGATAAATCTTGTTTTTAGTGCCATAATAGTCGTAAGAAGAGAATTCAATTCACATTGAGATATATTGTCTTATCCACTGACAAACATCTCTAGTTCGGAAGTAAATAAAGGATCTTATTTCTAAAGATTTGCCCGTTTGTATTGGTTTGATATTCTAAAGCTGTTTTGAGGGCAATAAACATGACACATTTCTCTCGTTTGACGCTATCAGTATCACTCACACTTGCATTATTTTGTAACATCTTTCCCCTTGAACTTACCCCAACAAAAAACAATGTAAGCGGCGAAGTCCTCGATGAAAGCATTGAGTTTATCCTGTTTGTTAAAGATCACCAGCAAATGAACCAGTCTAGCTGGCTATGAGGTCAAGTACCTCTTAAAGCCTCAGGCGACCAAAAAATAAATGACAAAAAATAAGAGGTTTCTCGAAATAATTGTATATTATATTAAAGTTTCGGTTCCAGCCCAATGGACCGAGGTGTCAGATTTGTTTATCATTGCCGGCTCGTAACTCTCAGCTGTCTGTACCATGAAGCGTCCAAGAGTATTGGTACTTCATCATGTTCATGTCCCTTGAATGCAAGCAGAGTCTATCGCAGGTTACCCCCCCTCCCCCTTCTCTCTCTCTCTCTCTCTCTCTTTCTCTCATCCCCTCCAGCATTCCGACAGGTTGCCCCAGCAGTTGGTCTGTAGTCATTTTTCCCCTGGCAATGAGAGGCATAACAAGAGTGGTCTAGAGTAAACTATATTTTTCAAGTCTCTCCCGCGCGCGCTTGAACAGCACGTCCAATGGAGCGTTTTCATTCACGCGGCCAGCGGCCATGCAAATTTCTTGGGGCAAAAGAATGTGTTAACTGAAGAAAAGAATTCAACTCCCACTAGCCTGATTCTCAGATGGTCAAGGCCGTCTCAGACCTGGACCGTCTGAGAATCAGGCTTAACACACAGAACTGGTTTGGTACACCAATATGGCTGCCGTGACGTATGGTGAAAAACTACACTAACCAGTAGTCTGTAGTGTATTTAGTCTCATATGTTTGCCTAAATGTAGGGACACACAACAAAACAATTTGTCAGAATTCATCGGGGACCATAGTTACACACTCTAAACACACCTGTGTGTACAGTTGCATGGCCATATCTACACCTTTCAGGAAGGGGAGACATGCCGTTATCCACTGCAACTAAGCCGTTGTTTAATTTTTAACCTTGGATATCATTAAAAGGGATCGGAAATTAAAACTAGTTCAACACATGACACAAGAAAATGATACGGAAAAAATGTGAGGAGTAAAGGCTTTCATTCGCAAATTTTGTTCTTTATTTGCAATCGAGGATAGTCTAATAAAGGCAGGATTATGTCGTATAGTTAATATTTCCATTTACAAACAACTCTAAAGTTCTTGAACATCGTGAGCGTTACAATTCATGTCTCTTCAGTTTCAGTCGGTCTTGCCTTTGTTGCATATGAAGGCCAACCGTGTACACACTTGTGAAGCCAGTCAACAAGATGAGCCCACAATGAGATCCTGTGGTCAGCAACGTTACTAAGTAACGGCCGCGGTAATCAGTTGAATTGAACTGAAGCTTTCATTCCTTCATTCTACTCATCTTTTCCGGTGCCAGGTTTTTTCGAGGACGGTACGACTGGTCATAAATAGAGTTTAATAAGTTCATCGCTTACAGCAGAAGGTGTCAGGACTCCGAGATCTGTGAACAGCAGAGTAATGTAGGACGGGGGAGTGTAATCCACCACAGGATGACCATCTACACAGGACGAGCTTCCTGAGTACTAAAGCAACAAAACCACAAGGCATAATTAATTAACGAATTCAAGAGGAAATCAAAGATTAGAAATCGGCTTCTTGGTGCTAAAATTGGTTTGAAAGCATTAATGATGACCTTCGCCAAACGTAGCTAATAATTATTCCGTTCTTTTACGGCGCAAAAAAAAAAGTCGAATTGTGAGTTATTAAACAATTCTTGTACCCTCTAAGTAAATTTTGGCGTTTTCCTACAGAATTAGTATAAAATTATCACAGTATCAGGGATTTAGGTAATCAAACCAGCCGTCGGATCAATTAATCTGATCGTATTGAATGGGAGAGGATGGCCATATTAAAGCAAGAAAAAGACTTTTAAGCAAGGAAAAGACTGACTCAGCATTTGGCAGTAATAACGAACTGGCCGTATCAACGAAAGCGAGCACTTCTTTATTTTAAAATCCTTCGTTATCTGAAAGTTACCATGCTACAGGAAAACATAAATTAATAACTATAATCTGAAGAGGTAAACACACCTTGAAACGATTCGGCACGTCTTCCTGGTTAAGTGGATACAATCGAACAAACTTAAAACTCTCTGCCACAACATAGAATGGTTTGTTTACTGCTTTGGTCATGACAGCCATCTGATATGTACCAACCTGATTGAAACACTGCAATATTACACTCCTAACAAATCATAGGTGTTTTATCGGCCGGTATTTAATTACAGTAGAAAAAACTTGATTTTACTTGATTATAAGTCAGCTTCATCTTTACAACACACAAAAACACGACTTCCACTTGCAACATAGTCACTATCAAGGCTTTACTCTGTTCAGGGTTGCCATCCACCGGAGCAGAAAAAAAACCCTGACTTTTCACTGACTGTAAAGCAATTTTCACTGACTGTCAGGATGATTATTCTGGCCATGAATCTACAAAAATAAGAATGGCTCAGATAATTTTTAAAACAAAATTGCCTTGTCTGTACAAAAACATCTAATAAAATAATTTGTGGCAACCTTACGATACAATTCCCTGACTTTTCACTGACTTTGAACAGGGATTTAGAAATTTCCTGACTTAATACAAACTCCCTGATTTTTCCCTGGAGTTGCAGAATAAAATCTTATTTTCCCTGACCGTGGTAAACCTGCTGTTGTTCAAAGCTATGAAAGTGGTTGCTTTCTCATCTTTTGTTGGTCAGCTAAGGTTGCTCCAATTTACGTCAGACATGAATTTCTAATGCCTGTTGCAGTTAAAATTACAAGGCTGACAAGCACGCTGATTTCTGAGAAGGGACTGAGCTGTCCGGGCTCAAGTGCTGGCAGTTGTCATGGTGTGGTGTTCAATCTTAGACAAGACATTTTACTCTCACAGTGCCTCTCTCCACCAAGGAATATAAAATGCAAATATATGTACAATGTAAATGGGTAACAGCACACTGTAAGGGCAACCTGACAGAATGCTGGGGTGTAAATTGTGAAAGAGTAACATACCATCTACAGGGTAAACCAAAACTATTGGTGGCTTCATACTACAGAAACCAGAATACAGCTGCTGCAAGTTCCTGTATTAGCCCAGATGTAGAAAAGACCATTTTACAGTTGTCTGCTCAGTGGCCTGGCCTCTGAATGGCAGCAAGGCTGGAGGTGACCTTGTTTTGATACAGACCTCATTGCTTTTGTTGTGTAAATCAAGTCGTTATAATGCTAACTAGGTGGCATTTATATCAAAAAAAGCAGAGAGGTCTGTATCAAAGCAAGGTCACCTCCAGTCTCACTTGAATTTATAGGCCAGGTAACTGTAAAATGGCCTATTACCAACCACAATTTATGAGGGGAAAAAGTTAACAAGCAATACCAGTATTACTCACTTTATTAATGATTCCACCACTCTCTACAACTCCTTCTGCCCCAACTAGGACCAAATCAACTTTTTCCATCATGTAACTGAAACCAAAATGGTTTCAAAGTTTCAGTTAGAAAACGGTAGTACATACACTGTAGAAGAGAAAAACTGAACCTTCAACAAATGAAAACTTTTGTGACATGGCATTCAAGACACCAGTGTTACAAAAAGATTTGGTGAATGGCAAGTCCCCTGCAAATGAGATCTTCTGTTGCTCTACCTAGGGAGCTGCAACTACAATAAAGCTAAAAGGTAGCAAAATAATCAAATTTGCACTCTAGCAATCTTACCAGGGCCGCTAAGAGTTGGGGGAGACAGAGGAGAACTGGGGAGAATAGGGAGCAGGAGGGGTATGGGAGGCAGGACAGGAAAGACCAGAAAGCCAGAGTTCTAAGAGGGCGGGAAGTGGGAGAGAAATGCAAAATGCTAATTTTTGTCGTTTATTAATA